GTCAGCATATATATTACACAATTTATTATCCATCACATATCCTATTAATGTATGGAATCTAATGGAGACATCATAGCCTGGAATTGTCTATTTTTTGTCAATGTTGATATCAGTCCTTCGGTGTTGTATGCATAGACAAATGCATATTTTGGACGCTGAGGATAGAGAGAAATGTTTGCCTTTCTTGAGGGGATTGAAAAGATTATTTAAGTGCTGAAGGTTGATTTCGTTAATACACTTCTTGTTTTGGGTCAATGAACAGTATCCTGATCAATTGTTAATCTTTCACGGAAGTTTTTGGATAGTTTTCATGTATATATATCTGATTAGATGAAATTTCTTAACTGATTGCAACCTTGGACCTTGGTTCCCAATTGATAATCTTTTTCGCTAAAAGCGAAGTAACTACATGAGGAAACGAATGGACACTTGTATGCTTTCAGCAGATTCCAATGTGTTTCTAATGGACAATCCAATGACTCCTTAGTAATGATTATCAGAAAATAAGGAAGTAAAACGTACATAAAGAGGTAAAAAATATTTGACATGAAGAATACAATATTGAAGATGATGAGAGTTCGGTTACAAGCATAGATAGTTTGGAATTGGCTGTCTCCTTTTGACATCTTACAACTCTACACCTAGGACAAATTAGATGCACTTTCCTAGTGATCTTGTTTTCGTGGCACGCATGAATATCCCTATGGATTTCCAAATTTGGTTAAAATTCTGAGGTGATTAAGAGGGTTACTAAGATTCGAGGAGTACCTATGAAGTTTGAACTAGGGCAAAGCCTGTTACAGTCTGAAACTTCACCATTTTTTGTAAGATCCTTTTAAGGCATATCATCAGTTCAGATTCCGTGTGTTTTTAGGCTTCATTAGAGAAGGATGATGGGGTTAGATGCCTCAACCATAAGATGCATGGAGCTCGCAAGAATACATAGGAGTGAAGCGTAAACCTAACCTCTAAAAAAGCAGCAAGTGTAAGGAAAACAATAAATAAGAGGTACTACCTCCCATACAAAAGGAAAGTAGCAAAAGTAGGCTAGAGACATTTGATACTAGGGATACCGAGTCTATCAATCTTTATTAGAGCGTGTAATCTTCGAGGAAGGTCTAGGGGGACCATACTCTTGATAATGTCGTTGTTTCCAACCTGCAGTGACAAGTTAGACAACTATTTGATTCCCCTGTTGATATGTGTGGGAAACTGTGTCTCGATCAAGTAAAAGATGATGTCTAATGTGTTGAGAATGTCTAGGATAGACCATAGTCGACCTCTGCGAGTGATGCAATGAACAGCAAAAGAGGAATGCAAACCGTCCTTGATGCAATCATCTGCGTTGATTTTCCATCGATGGAGTGCTCTAGCAAACTAAGATATGGGGTTATGGGGAGGGAGGGTTAAATAGATACCAAATTGTTGGACAATGTCTAGATCCCCTTGCCAATGGGTACACTGAAGTAAACGGCATATATGTAGAAGAGAAATAGTGCAATAGATTCTTCAAGTGATGCGTCGAGGATCCATAGCAATGTCCCTATGCTTCTAATCACTTGCAGTCAAAATAAACCAAAAGATCAGCACATGAATGATAGTGCAAATGTGGCCACAATGTACAAATTGGCTTGAGAATCGCCATCTCTAGAAACGATGATTAAGTCTACAAGGAGGCCTTCTGGTTTATTTGTCAAAAATGAAATGACGAAAATGGAGTTAACATTGTACTTACAATAGATGGAGAGAAAATTAATGAGTGAATGAATGTCTTGTGTGAAATAATACTGATCTAATTCTAGGCATTTGCTTGAAGCTTTATCATATTTTCCGTTCTTTTTATGTATGCTTTCTGATATTTAGTTTTGGATTTTTTTATCAGAGTAGCTGTCTAATTCTGTTTTTATTTTGGCATCCATGCTTTAACTTTCTGTTTGATTCTGCTACTTTGAAAATATGGCCAGATCTTTTTCTAAAGATCTAATGTATATGAGCAAATCAGAGCACTGGATTGGAAATTTAAATATTTGATGAAGCAGGCAATGCTATATATTTGGTGGAACAAGAATTCGCAAGCTTATATATTTGATGTGAAGAAGGGTTGTTTATCTACCTACATGTGCAATAATGCACTTACTTTTCTCTCGCATTTGGACGTTCGTCAATATAGCAGCTCATGTCTTTGTATGAGATTGCTTTTACGGTTAATTAAGTAAAAAGAAGTTTATAATTAGCACTAGTAAAGTGGAGGTAGTGACTATGAGAGGATCAGTGGTAAGGTAATCAGGGATGGATATTTTAGTTTTCTTATTGGTAATCTACTATACTGAAGTTTGTCTCTTTGTAGTTGATTTTTTAGTCGTTTGTCTCAATAAATCCCACAAGATTGTCTGATTGCACTGAAGTGAAATTTCACAAATACTTGAGCCCTGTGGTTACTTGAGTTTTGTGCTGGAATTGAAACACAATAGGTTCATGATCTAATTTGATATGGGCCTATGAAGATGCCGAAAAAACTTGTGTTGTTTGGACATGCTCCAATGCCTTTTTACCATTAAAATTATATATAACACTTTGATTGTCTTTTTATGTTTCACTAGGTGTCCATCTTAAAGTTTTCTTTTCAATTATGCTTACTTCATCAATGTTCTGTTTCTTGGTTGACTTTTATGTATGAATTTCCTGTAGTTGTTTGGTAATTCAACCTGATTTCAAGTTTACCAATTTATTTTTCTGTATGTGAAAAGAATGACCAATAGTTTACCAATTTATTTTATATGAAGTATTTACTTGACTTCCGTATCATTTTACTGCAGGCCTCTTATTTACTTACTTAGGCTTGTATTTAATGGATGGACATGGTCAACCCGCTCTCCTATACCTTGTTCCATGTACCTTGGGTATGAATTAAGACTACCACTTTGGTCTATCTTTTAAGGTAGAAGTAAATTGGTTTCGAGCGTTTAAAATTTGTTCCCTGTTTTTTCAATTTTTAAATCTTAGGACTCTGCATCATATTGGGATTGGTAAGAGGTGAGCTAAAACAACTTTGGAGTTATGGCATTGAGTCAACAAAACCCACTGTACCTTCTGAAGAAGCTTGATGCATCAGATTATGATGTTCACAAGAAGAAATTCTAATTACAATCATGGGCTATCTATGTACAAGTTTGTCTTGTGATGGTATACATTTAAGCTTTGTAGATCAATTCAGGTAAGAACTGAAATTGTAAACAGCATTCATGTCCATTTAAAAGGCAGTTCACCCATGTTACGTTTACTTGCATCTATGTTCTTGTTTGCCCTTTTGATTCGTTCACCATCTTATACTTGTTGCTGCTTTTTATGACAAAAAATTGTTACATAATCTGCATTGTAATGATCATTGTAACAAAGGTTGCCCAGTTTACAAATTCTTGATAATCTTAGCTAATGAAGCCAAGGTTCTAGGAAAGTCTTGTTCCTTTTCAAGTTCTTTAGTTGTTAAATTTTTGTCTCGTCATTCATAAATATGTTGTTCCTGAAAAAGTATCCTAGATGTGATTGTAAATAATTTTCACATAAGATGGCATTAAGTTTGCTGTTGTTTGAGCTAAAAAAATAAATAAACATTCGAGTCTTATTTCTTGGATGGCTCGTGTCAACTTTAGAGATCTTGAAAAAATCAAATTTCTCAGAAAAAAAGTCAATTATTGAATAGACTCCTGCTGGAATAAATAATAGATAGGAATATAGGTAGCTATATCCTTGAATTTCATCGTGATTTATGAGAATTCTTGCCTTGTAGAGAAAAGGGCAGATACAAAATCATCCATTGCTTTGATTGAAGACCCTTTAATGCTTCCATCATTTTTTACAGATGCTCTTATCAACTCTCCAATTTCAGCAGCTTTTTTCTTCATCTCTTCTCCTTTACCTCCTTTATCCATTACAATATATATTACCCTCTTCACATCCTCTTTGGTAATGATAGACTGTAGTCCCCTGGTTAACTCTATGGACACACCCTTTTCTTCCGTTAGCATCTTTGAGTTGTACCCCTTCTTGGCTGCCAAAGGCCCCGGGCTTAAACTCTCCATTATTGAATTCCATCCACGGTGGCTTAAAAATGCACCTGTTGATTTGTGACATAGAATCTCCAACTGGGGTGCCCATTTGTGGACCAAGTCCTTGCTTTGTTCTTGCCATTCTTTCTTCAAACCCTCATGGCAGCCATTCGTGTTGGAATTCACCATTCATGTTATTACCAACCGGAGGCCTTATGACCCAAATGAATGGCTGTTCGCTTTCCTCCAAACCCAATGCCATCATCTGAGACGTGGATATAGTGTTTTGGGAACCAAATGAGATATAGAGACTGTTCTGAATGAATGTCTAGCCATTCTATGCATTTCTCAGGAAACACTCTGTGTTCTCAGCCTGCATGTTGCCCGATACTTGTGAACTCGAACCTGAAGAAGAGTGTTTGCTTAGCATTCTTGGCGGGAGGAGAGGTCCAATGCACCAAACAAGAAGCCTTGTGTATTATCTAAGTATATCTGAGCCTAAAGGTTCAATATCTTCAACTGAATTGCACAACCATCCAAAAGAGCCTAAAGAAAGTGAGATCTGAGGCTGAAAGAACCTGGACCATGGATCAGTACCATCTGCTGCTCTCAGAAATTGATGAAGTTGGGAAATATGGAATCGGCACAAATCAGGGCTAAACTCGTCTTCCTTGGTTGACCTGTGTGAGAGATGCTGCCATAAAGACACATAAGCAGCAGTGCCATAGGCACCTCCTGTGGTGAAAGTCACATTCAAAGTTCCACAATACTTTGCAACATCATTAGCCCACCCCCCATATAAACATCAGAGATTATGCATAGTGGAGGCTGTCCATCCTTGACTGTAATTTCCAAAATGACCTCATGACATGGAGCTTCGAGGTATGTTGAGGCTTGAAACAGGTTTTCAATTTGGGACAAAGGCAAGGACTCTGTTCTCAGTATTGGGTGATAGGCCATGATCAATTTGGGCTGAATTTGTTGAGTCCTTGGCAGTGGTAGATTTAAGATAGTGAACATTTAGAGGGGTGCTGACAATGGTTATGGTGAAGCCAAAGCTTTGTTGGAGTCGCCTAGCTAATCCTAGAAAAGGTATTAGATGACCCTGTGCCAGAAGTGGCAGCATCACTATGTGATGCTGTGAACCTCCCATATTATATGTAAATCTGCCTATTCTTCTTGGGGTGTGTGTGTGTGTGTGGTGTTGAAGGGTTTAAATGTTAGGTTTGAAATGGCTAATGCTCGTCTTGAGGAATCTCTGCAGCCAATCAAAAGGATTTGATTTGTGAATCATTAAAAGAGGGGAGAAAGAATAGAAAATTTGGTTCTCTGAATGCCTAACTTGGCTGATTTGATTTTGTCTCTATATTTGATTTGATTTCTCTGTATTTGTCCATTTCCTAATTTGGCTTCACCATATTTGTCAGTTTTAGCTTTCACAACCCAAATTTGAACTTGGGAAGAATCTGATGGCACATATGGCCCACAGTTAAAAGTAAAAATAGACTAAAGGCTCAGAAGTCGTTAATTTTTTGTATGTTGTCTCTAAAGTTATCTTAGACAAGGAGTGTATTTTCTAACATAATATAGCTTACTGCAATTCGTCTTTATAGCAAAGAAGACAGCAAGCAACGAAATTCTTAAACTCCCTAGATGCAGCAAGCGGCACCTCTTGAGGCTGCGAATGACAAAAGCCCTGTTTGGGAGGGATTTTCATTTTTCTACAGTATATCAATTCTCATTTTCATTTACACATTCTTCAATAAAATAATATTTTCTATCACATCAATAATTTTTTCTTCTTTTTCAATCACACATTTCATATCACTATTCAAAATCAATTCTTCCCCCAGAAATCCCTACCAAACAGGCATAGATCAACAATCCTGACTAGTACACATTGATGATAGAGTAACTTTGACAACAGAATAGTTAAACATTCACTTGATTCAGTAAATTACTTCCTCCAAGGATAGTGAATAATATTTGGTTTCTTGTTTGGTACTGCAACTGGTATTTCATAATATTTGGTTTCTTGTTTATTTGTATAGATATGAATGTGGATATGGATATGGATAGTGAAATGGAAGTTATCAATAAAACTCCTTCAACAACAAATTTAGAAAAAAATGCTATGTCTCTTCCTCCACTTCCACAATTATGTTTAGAGAGGAGGAAATATAGGAAATCTTCAGATGTATGGGAACACTTCACTATTATAGGAGATTCAAAAGATGAAGATATTAGGTTTACGTGCAACTATTGTGGGCAGGATTATGCTTGTGGGGCTAGAAAGTGCGGGACTAGTGCCTTAATGAATCATTTGATTCTTCATTGTAAAAAGTATCCGGGAAGGATAGAAGATAAAAGGCAAAAATGTCCAACCGAGAGCGATGGGAACAATCTTATAGCTGTTGGCTTCAATAAAGAAGAATGTAGACTTGCATGTGCTAAGATGATAATAGTTGATGGGCTACTTTTTAGCTTTGTCGAATGTCATGGGTTTAGAAAATTTTGTCAAGTAGCATATCCGAATTTTGATCCTCCTTCTCGTAGGACTATTGTTAGAGATATTTATCAATGTATTTGGATCAAAATTGCAACTGTGAAAGATCATTCAACGTCAAAGAGTCTCTCTTACTACTGATACTTGGAGTTCTATTCAAAACGTTAACTATGTCTCTTACTACCGATTAAGCTACAACTTACAAGAGATAACTTTTTAATGGAATTTTAACAAATGCATTGAACCTCATGTTTATGTTGTAGCAGAAATGGTAAGAAACTGTTTTCTGCTCTGCAGAAGAAAACTTAGTTCATGCGGGGGGATAAGCAGTAATTTCCTTCTCATTTTTTGATTTTTTTTAATTTTTTGAATTATATTTTATATGGTAATATTATAAAATTACCATTTTACCCTCATTTACTTGGTCAAAAATGGTCGTACTTTAATTTTTTTGGGCTAGATGATGACATCTTTGACGAAACCCATCCAAAAGGGTCTCACCTACAACGTTTGAAAAATGTTAGAGGTGACGGTTGCAACAAATCAAAGGTTTTGGAAAAGTCTGTTATTGTTTCAAAGGTTAGGTTTTTTTCTTCAATTATCCCTAAAAAAATTATTTTTATTAAGTATTAATTACATCAAACTTAAACATGTGGTGCTAAATGTTTTGAGCCAACGTTTTAAAAATTATGGACATGAATTACCTAAACAAATAATTAAAAGTTCAAAATGTGTTAAATACTCAAAACGTTTAAAATCAAAGTACCCTTAGCATTTAATTTTGTTGATATAAAAAACATTGGCTTAACTTACATTTTAAGTGCGTCCCAGCAATTGATATTGAGTAAATCTCACTCATAACAGTGAGATATACCTACATGGACTATTTCCTTTTTGTGAATCTCTCATTGGGAANTCCCTTTTCCTTTTATTTCAATTGGAGGGTATATAGGTCATTTTAAGTTAAAAATTAGGGAAAAGGACGTTTTGCGCAAGAAAATGCATAGGTAGGGACGTTCTGCACCAAAAAATCAAACGTAGGGACGTTTTCCACACAACCCGTCATAGGTAGGGACGTTTTGCGCCAATAACCCTATTTTCTAACATAATATAGCTTACTGTAATTCGTCTTTATAGCAAAGAAGACAGCAAGCAACGAAATTCTTGAACTCCCTAGATGCAGTAAGCGGCGCCTCTTGAGGCTGCGAATGACAAAAGCTCTGTTTGGGAGGGATTCTCATTTTTCTACAGTATATCAATTCTCATTTTCAACTATACATTCTTCAATAAAATAATATTTTCCATCACATCAATAATTTTTTTTTTTTCAATCACACATTTCTCATCATATCACTATTCAAAATCAATTCTTCCCCCAAAAATCCCTACCAAACAAGTTGAAAGTTTAAACTTGCGAATTCATATTTCTGAAATGGATAAGAAAAAAATACTATCATAATTTATTATTTCTCTAATAAAAATGAAAACCGATTATTTAATTACCGAGTGGTGAACTAATAAATAATATATTTTGAGTAAAAGAAGTAATTTTTTAAAAATTTTGGCCTAGCGTTACTTTTTGTTTTTAAGGGATTTTTAACTGTCAAAACATAAACGGAGTCATTTCAAAATGATTTTGTTCAATTTGAATTCGAAACATTGATGAATCCACGTGAAAAAAAAAAAATAATAAATAAACAAACAATTGAAAATCGCAATTTCAATTCGATTTGACTGATTTAATTTATTTTGTTAACCCTTAATAGAATTGGATTATATATATTGTAATTATTCAACTTAGTCACTCATTTTCAATTTTCTAGTCTGGTTCATCCAACTTCAATTTACACGAAAATCTGATCATTTTATCTAGTTTCGTTAGTTTAACTAACGTAATATACTGTCTCAGATATTAAAATTAATCAAGAAATAACGTGTAAAAACGTTCTTTAGTTTATATATTTTTTGTGGAGTAATTTTTTATAATAATGTTACTTGTACATGAATAGTTATATAAGAGTGCGTTTGATTGCAAGTGTAGAAAATGGGTGGAAAGAAAATGTTTTACAGGGAAAATGTTTGTCTAGAAAATGTTTTGCAGGAAAAACGATTTCAAGTGTGTTTGATAAATGCTTCATTGATTATTTTCAAAGACAAAGTCTTCTTCGAAATATTTGGAGAGTACAAATCAACATGTGTTGAATGGTCAATCCTACTCATCGATCAAGTTGCTTGGCATGAGTTAAAAATTTTGATTCTTAATTCAAGTGGTGGTCGCAACGAGCACAATAGAGAAGTGGTGATAAAGTCAATACCAATGAGTTTGATTCCACTTTATCAACTAGTCAAAAAAAAGAAGATATAAGAGAGCTGTTCTTAATTTATTTTGATTGTTCAATGTTAATTTCACGAAATTACAAAATGGATACTGTATTATATTTTTGATCAATTAATTTAGTGAATTGTTTGACCCATGGCATGTGGGCCCGTGGATATTTCTGTTTAAGTTTTATTACGTTATATTTGATGTTCAAGTTTTAATCTATTATTTAATTTTTGCAATTAATTAAAATTGCCCAAACACAAATTCAACTTGCATGTTACAGTGAGAACAATTAAAAAAACTGAAGCCCTGTTTGGTACCCATTAAAATTTTCATTCTCATTTTTCTACTCATTTTCATCCACATATTCTTCATTAAAATAATATTTTCCATCACATCAATAACTGTTCCTTCTTTTTCAACCACATATTTCCCATCACATCAAACAAAAAAATGCATTCTTGGACTGATAATGTGCACCAAACAGGTCAATTTTTTAAAGAGCAATATTATTTATCATCACTAGTACAAACATCAGTTTATATGACAATCATGTAACATTAAATGATAGATTCATTTTAATGAAAAATCACATGATTCATTTAATTGAACATATAACGTATCAACCTAAATTAGTGCTCTATTATTGATGCTATATAACTTTTTTTTTTTTGTTTAAATTGAGTAATTTTATTGTATTATGTCCATTTTTAGTTCCAATTAAAATTTAGATTTTAATTTAAGTCAAAGTCAGTAATTCATTTTAACCACATATTTTATGGGTACCACAACTTTTCAATCATATATTTTATCAACTTTTATCAAAATCTGTTAAATCCAAAACCGGAATATATTTTCTCAAAATAGAGATTTGCTTCTAAACTATTTTAACTGGGAAAAGGCCAAAACCAAACCGTTATAAAATCCACTAAATCAAATCAAATGTCATAGTCCCACCACCCACTACTTGCGCATTCCTGTCTTCAAAGAAAAACCATTCTTCTGCCAGCTCTGCTCCACCCCCCTCATCATTCACGCCCATCTCATTTCAATTCTCTTTCCAGATCCAAAAAACACACAATCTGAGATGGGTTCATCGTCGGAGGACGAAGGGGAGGAGTACTTGTTCAA